CCTAGATTTATCACAGGTCACTTATGACTTACCATAGGCAAACACAGATATTCATGCTTAGAGGTTACACATCCTAAGCTACATACCTCATTTTCAATACATAGTCATCACAGTTTCATCATGGGTATTTTAGCATAGGCAAACACACATAAGCATGAACACAGGTTACAAATCCTAGGCAAGCAGAACTATACCGAGCTTAATAGCATTCCCAGACACACAAACACCCATCACAGTTCAATCACATCCCTTAAATCATCATTAGTTACACAACAAGCCAAACCATTCAATCATCATGCAATGGCCCAACACAACACGGCTCAAGCATCAAAGATACAAAGATTAAGGGATGGAGATTACTGTCCTTAAGGAATGTGTTGGATGTCATCGTCTTCTTCCCCGCCTCCGCCGTCGTGTTCCCCGCCGTCGCTCTCTTCCCCATCATCCAGCGTCGGTCCCGAGTTCACTTCTTCACCATCTTCTTCATCCATGACTCGTGGTATCTATTTGCATAACATTGAAGTGGCGGTCCAATCTCATCTTCTGGATTTACACACGACTTAATCTCGGATTTTGAGGGTCCGATATCGGCAGTGTGTGTGGGGTTGGCCGGAAGTTGAACTGCCTTAGGGTTTTCAGGAGGTGATGCTTTAGGATCCATTGAAGTGAGGAGAAGGAAGGGTGGCGATGGAAGTGAGGAGAAGGAGGGGTGGCGATGGAAGTGAGGAGAAGGAGGGGTGGCGATGGAAGTGAGGAGAAGGAGGGGTGGCGATGGAGGTTACGAGGTTGGAGGCGGTGGAGGAGGTTGAAGACAGAGAGATGATTAAAAAGATAAGGTGCAGAGTGAGATAATGGGATGGAAAATAAAGTGGCAGGGGTGTCAGGTGTGGGCCGCACAAATGGGTAAATGGGGGTAGGGATATAAAGGGTATTTCATATAAAAAAGTTTCCTAATTTAGAAGTGTGAAGTTTATTTTGGACCGTCTCAAAAAGGAAAGTGTGAAGTTTATTTAGAACCGGAGGGAGTATTAAATACATTATTACTCTAATTCGGATATACATATTCCTATTGTTTTTTATTTTTGGGTGTTCATGTGAACACCCTTGCATAAAGGACATCCGCCACTGGTGTAGATCACTCGACTTATAAATGTATTTTTGACCCACCCGACTACCCGAGCCATTTTTTTGGCTCCGTCATTTGAGCTCCATCCCAATTTAATTTCTCAATAAAGAATGACGTGGTTGATTTTTTTAATGAAGGGGGCTTATATATTAGAATAAAAGCAATCAACAAGGATCTAAAATGACAAGAGTACCACTGATAACCATCCGCCCTTGGGCCAGACTCAGAATTAACCACCTTCAAGGAAGCAGTATAATTCACTGATCCTAAACTGAGCATAATTGAGCCAACAGTGGTTACTGCAGCACTCTCATCACCCAAGCCTAATGCAAGAGTCTTATAGAAGTAAACAAAACAACAACAAAAAAACAGTCTGAACGTCAAACGAAACATAACAAGCAATAATAAAATAAGCACCACCGTGGAACTTCTGCACCTGCAACTTTACGAACATATCAGGCGGGCCTAGCAGCTGAAGCCCGCCTCCTCCCCGTTTTTTGTGTTGTCTAGTGTCATCTCCTCTTCTGAGTTGTTTTCTTCTGCCGGATCCTTCCAGACTCTCCTGCGCTTCTGATCAACCGCGACCTCCCCTGCACCGCTTCTACCCTCTTCCTTTGTGCCACTACTTTCTGTCTCAGTTGTACTCTCCTTGCGTCCCTGCCTCATAGTTTCTTCGTCATCTCGCTGAGCCCTCCTGTGATGATTCGGACCTCCTTGTTTATCCACCAACCATTTACCACCCCTTGTGGGGCTAATCATTCCCCCACCACCTGCTCTGAGATCCTCACTAAAGTTTTTCTCCAAAACAAGATCCTCCACATATTTTAATGGGCAAAATGTCTCAGAGTGAATGACGTGGTTGTTTAAATCACATAATTGTTACAATTATGTGATTTAAACAACCACGTCATTTTGATAAGTATATACTTATATAACATAATTAAAGTCATTGATAATAATTATGATATTATAGATGTACTATTTTTAATATTTGAGAATTAACTTATCATTTTAATCTCTTAAAATTGAAATGAGAAGTATTAAGTGAAACGTCTAAAAATGACAAAAAGAGAAAAAAAAACTTTAAAAAAAAACACTTAAAGTAGGACGAGGGAGTACTAGGGTGGACTGGCCCAGTTCAACTTGACCCAGAACCCAAGTCGGTTCGTTACTGTTCAAGCCCTGCCCGACCTGGTGAGTCGGGACCGGGACTGGGGCCCGAGCCCAGGGATTAAAGAGGCGGGCTAAGGGTTTTTAAATGGTGAACCGGCCCGGCCAATTCGGCCCCGGTCCGGGCCCAAATAATTTTATTTTTTTATTTTTGGCATTGGGCTGGGTGCTAGATGGGTGGGGCTGGGCAATTTGGGAGGATTTGGAAATGGGGTGGGGGTTGGAATTAATTCCAAAGACCCAAAAAAAAATTATATTTGAGCCCGGTCCATGCCTAGCGAGTACAAAAGAGTTGATCGTTTGCATATTTTAATTCTAAAATCACAATAACGATATACTCTAAATCATCTCATCAGGCCGGCCTGACGGGCTGCCCCGTCCGGCCGAGCCTGTTTGGGCACCTTCCCGGTGGAATTTTTTGATGAAATTTTTTGAGCATGTTCCTCATCAAGTCTAGTTTGTCCATACCAAATTTCAGCTCAAAATTCGATTGGGAAGGTCGTCAAATGATTTTTGCAAGTTAACTGGTCCGGAATATGTATTTTCCGGACCAGTTAACTTGCAAAAATCATTTGACGACCTTCCCGATCGAATTTTGAGCTGAAATTTGGTATGGATAAACTAGACTTGATGAGGAACATGCTCAAAAAAATTCATCAAAAAATTCCACCGGGAAGGTGCCCAAACGGGCTCGGCCGGACGGGGCAGCCCGTCAGGCCGGCCTGATGAGAAGAGCTCTCCTCTAGAATGTACTAGTATTTTATTTCTATTTGGGACAATCTATTATACTTGAGTAATGCTGTAACGGAGGGAAAAGGTGTAAAGATAATTAAGGAACATAATGAGACTTTAGATATCACTGCACGAAGTTTTATATGTATATAGATTAAAATAAAGTCCAATAATTTTTCTAGTAGTAATTGAGTATTGAATATAGAATGATAACATTAGAAAGAAAGAAAAAAAGTACTGTCTTTTTTCGTTAACTTTAATGAGTTAGTCTATAATTGCTATTGCTTAATTTAAGCACTTTTGAGCTTTTGGAGTTGGAGAAGCTAAAAGTGGTGTTTGCAAATGAAAATTTCTGCTTAATTTAAGCAATTTAAAGCCAAAAGTTAGAAGCTAAGGATGAGGTGCTTTTATCTGCTTCTTGGTTTTTTAGTAAATAAGTCCAACTTTTAGGGCCATTCTAATCTTAAAAATAATTATTAGCCCAAAAGTACCCCTCTGGCCCACAACACCCATCGTTCCCCAAAGCTTCTATCAAGAATCTGCAGTAAGGTCCTTCCGGCTTGCGGCAAGGGAATTCGACAATTTCAGAGCCAAACGAAATTCTAAATAATCCAAGAACATAATTAAACTTTATCCAAACATGAATTTACGGACTAATGAAACACAAAACCTTGAAAGTAAAGGTTGAAGATGATAATACATACTCCATAATAAATATGGATTTAAATCGTGGATAGTCCCCTAGGGGTGGACTCGGGCCGGGCGGCCCGGCTCGGGAACCGGTGGGCCCAGCGGTTCGGGTCGAACCGGCCCGGCCATTGGGCGGTTCGGGCTCGGGCCTATGTTTTGGTGAACCGGCCCGGCCGGTCGGGCCCGGTCCGGGCCGGAATTTAATTTTTTTAATTTTTTTTTTTGAATTTTTTTAAGTTTTTGGTTGGATTAGGTATTTTGGGCCATTTGAGGTGGTTTGGGGTGGAGGGGGAGGGGTAGGGGGTTAAATAAGAGAAGAAGAAAAAAATTAAAAATTAAAAATCCGGGTGGCCTGGCCCGCCCCGGCCCGGCCCGGTCTGGCCCGGAACCGGACCCGGAACCGCCCACCACCGGTTCGGGCTCGGGCCTCATTTTTCTGAACCGAGGCCCGGCCGGGCCCAGGCCCGAGCCGGGCCCGAAGCGGCCCGAGGCCACCCCTATAGTCCCCCCTGCCTTTTTTGTTGTGTATTCTTACTCTCGCTTTGGGTTGGGTGTGAGTTTTATCTTTTTTTCCGATCTGTTTTTTCTTTCTATTTTTGGCTGCTTTCTAACTCCATGGGCATGGTGAGGAGCTTCACGATCGGCAATTAGAGCGGAGAGAAAGGAGGGTGGGTTGGGTTGCCCCTGATCCTGATTTGCTATCTCTTTTTAATTTTAGGAGGTTGCTTTGGTAATTTAACAAAATATTACATCACAGTCACTTTTTTATCAAACACTCCATTTTTACCTTTTTATTAAAACCACTTCTATTCCCAAACACTGGTGTGGACTCGGGTCGGGTGGTCCGGTCAGTGACCGGTTCGGGTAGGCCCGACCCGCTGGGGTTCCGGTCCGGGCTCGGGCCCCTCAAAACGTGAACCAGTCCGGCCGGTTAGGGCCCGGTCCGGGCCATTTTATTTTTTTTTCTTTTTTTTTATTTTTTTTTAAGTTTTTGGGTTGGGCTGGGTATTTTGGGTCATTTAAGATGGTTTGGGGGTGGGGGGGGGGGGGGGGGGGGTGTTAGGGGTTAATTAGGAAAAGGCAAAAAAAAAATTGAATCGAGGCCTGGCCCGACCCGGACCTGGGGGTTACCCGGGCCGGTTCCGAGCCTCCCCTTTCCTGAACCGAGGCCCGGCCGGGCCCGAACCGGCCCGAGTCCAACCCTACCAAACACTACCAATTTTTACTACAAATCACTTTTCCAACAATCTATTAAAAAATCACTTTTAAAAAGTAAAAGCAATTGCAAACACTCCCTTAGACTGGATCACTAGTATTTATAATGTGAGGCGTATTGAGATAAACCAGGTCTTATTACATATTAAACAAATTATGAGGTAATTTAAACTTATTCCTACTTGTCATATGTGCATTGTACAGGTAAAGGGCATCATAACATTCATGTATTCCTCTCAAACAGGGAATCATGAACAAAAAGAGAAACTTGAATGTTAACTCCAATGCAACATCCTTTTCCATCAAATGCCAAACCAAAATGATAACCGACAACAATATACACAAATCCATACTTAGCATGTTCCAGTAAACTGTGAAAGTGAAAGAGTCACACGTTGAGGGGTGCTCTATTCACTGCTCAGTCATCGCTAAAATCAACACTGCTGCTATGGGAGCTACTGGCGGTGCGACTATGTAAGGAGAGACGTCTGATGTGACCAGATAAAGCAGAACCGTCTAATTTGTTTTCTTGAAAGAACTTTTCCCTCTCGGCATGTTTTGCAGGTGGTGGTGGAATTGCAGCAGCAGCTGCTGCTTTCCCTGGATCACGCTCTTGTTTCTGGTCTAAAGATGGGATTGGCCTTATGAGTGGACGGTGAAGCAATTTTCCTGGAATGGATGATCCAAGCATTCCCAATGGCCGTTCTTCATCTTTAGGTTGAAGGAGAGCTTTTCCTTTTCTCATCCTAGATATTTGTTTATTCATGTGACATGAAAATATAAATTGATTACGCAAAGATGCATGCATGGATAATCATGGGGAGAAAAGGGCCAGAGTAGCCCAATACCATCTACTGAAAATATTTTCCTTGATTCATTGTGCGATGTTTGGAGCTGAGAAAAAGGCAGGGAAAGGGGAAATGCTGAAGAAAATGATTTTTTTTCGTTTGGTTTTGTAATGGAAAATGAGAAGGAAATAAAAAGTGGCGCTTTTTATGATATACAGAAATAAGTTTACATGTTATTGAAAGAAAATTAGGTTCATTCATGATGTGGCAGTATGACTAAATATATGTCTGGGTTCCTATGCCACATATTATTACAACATAATACCTTCGGGAAAGCTGCTCAGCGTCCTCTACCTCCACTTGTTCATAGTCAACATGAGATGAAATCTGGGTTGGATGAACCGAAACAAGAGCATCATGCCTTTTAAGCACCATATCTAGTTGTTCATTTATCTCAACTGCTTTAGACACAACCTTTTCATCCCTGAACAATGTCAGCAATGCAAAACATATGCTTCAGAGTCATTACTTTCACTAAAGGGTATGACAGATTACAGTCTGACAACCTCAAGAGCATAACTTGGGACATACATAATCATAAACCACAATTAGCACAAGGCATCAAAACTCAAAAGTTTAAAGTAGTAAATTATAAATACTCTTCTCCATCTAATATTCATATGTGAAGTGCAATGACTGCAATCAAGTAGGTTCACGTTGAATTAATTTCGATTTTATATAATTTGTAACTCGCAGCCATTTTATTCCATGAATTGGCAAATTTCCACAAAAGACTTTGTGACCAGTAAGACTGACAAGTTCAAATGGTTTTTAGCTGCAGTACTTGACCTGGACATTTATTGACTCATTTTGAGTGCAAAAGTAAAGCAGTAAAGTTACTTGAGTATCGAACACCAGTTCGTACTTTTGTCACTGTGCCCTTAGGCCATGCACTCATGTCTTTAATTATACGGTCTTTATTCTTTAAGCTTCTAAATCATGTAGAATTATAAGCAAAACGTAGGTGAGAAATTATTACCGAGACGTCATTGCAAGATGCATTACTCTCTGCTTCTGAAATGAGCATTGCTCCACAAGATCAAGTGTGAACTCATCCCTTGCTCCCTTGGAGTGAAAAACATGTAACAGTCAAATCTTAGTATCTCATGAAAAAATGCTTAGAGTATATAAACAGACCGCAAGAGAGCTTCAGTACCTCGGAATGTTGGGTGCCAACAGCACCGAGGACATCTCTTAGGACTTCCATTGATGCACTGGCCTTCTGCAGAATACTGTCCAGGTACATGTGCTTTAATATTGTGAGCGTAGGTAGGAAAATAGGGAAAAGGGTCAAATAGCCCCTTCTACTATTTGCAATCCATCACTTAAGCCCTTCTACTAAAAAAACATCATATAAATACGCTTAGTTTTAAAATACATTTGACTTGGTATAGCAGGTTTAAAAAAAAAGTAAATTAGGACTATTGATACATCTAATAAAAAATCATACATATTTGAAAAGTAATGTAACAATAATATAAGAAATAGTATAAATGTAGAAATAGATAAATAATTTAAAAACAAAATAAAAAAATAAAAATCAGAAAACTGAAAAGTAAAGTGAAAATGTAAAAAAATATAAAATTAAAAAATTAAAAATCTTTTAAATAGATGTAGAATATAAAAATAATTTCGAAAATGCAAAAATATTGACTTTCACATTCTCAAATTTTTCACAATTTTTATCTATATTTCTTCATATTTTAACATTTTTTGAGTTTTTAATATTAAAAAACTGCTATTACAGGTCAGAAACTGATAAAATGGTCAGATTGACCAAATTTTTTAAAGTAAATGTACTTATATGATACGTTTTTTAATATAGGGACTTAAGTGATGGATTGGAAATAGTAGAAGAGTTTATTTGATCCTCTTCCCTAAATAAACAATACAATTTAAACAAATGGTTAATGTAACATGTTTGCAAAAGGACACCTGGTGCTATCTATGTTCATGGAAAATATTTAATTGAATGTCATTTCTCATCATTTGTTTTTATCATGAATTTATCCAATAAGGATGTTTTTACTTGGACTGTAATTCGTCCCAGACCAGACCAGACAAGATCAGACCAGTTCAGACCAGATCAGATCAGTTCAGACCAGACCAGACTTGGATAGTTATAAAAATACAAAGAAACCAGACATTATCAGATCAGACCAGACTAGATCAGACCAGACCAGATCAGACCAGACCAGCAAATTACAGTCCAAGTAAAAACATCCTAAATGTTTAGATGGGCAAAAAAGGAGTTAAAAAGTTGCCGCATAAAAGAACAAGAGATACGTAGTACTACAGAAGTTCAAAAGTAAATACTACGTATGAGTTTTTCAATATTCTGTTTTTTTACTTTTTCCAACTTCTCTTTTTCCATGTTGGGTACAGTGCCTAACAATCACAGGTTCATACGTTACTTTTAGCCATAACTGGAAAGTGAGTGGAAACTAACTAATATGCAGTATTTGGATCATCAAGTATTATTATGTACAAATGCACAAAATCATTATATGGACCACTCTTTAGAGCATGAAAAGGAAATTCTGAAATACGAGAAACACAATAGTCTCTAGTCGGTACAATTAAAATAACTCGTATATGCGGTTTGTCTTGGGTTGGACTGAAGATAAATTCTGAAACACAACTTCAACAAATGATACCTTGAATCGGAAACTTTTTTAGGTTCTTCTTTTACATCACTCTTTTCTGGCTGAGGTGGTTTTGTCTCAAAAAGGTTAACCCTGCCCTCATTGGATGATGGGTGATGCTCTTTTGGGACTGTATTTGATCTTTGAGAAAACTGCACTCCTTCATTCTGAGATGTCAAACATTAAACACCGCTTTTGCATCAATTTGTTTCCATCAAATGCTCACATAAAATATGAATGCAGTTGAAATATGTTTCCTAAGGGTATATTTGGGATCCAGGAAATTTCTAGAGAAGGACCAAATATGCAGAGGAAAGTTAACGCTGTCCTCAGCCATGTTAGTCAATATGCTGTTTTAATATATTTAAAACATTAGTCCTTTATATCATTGAAATAAATCCATAAAAATGAGTCTGAACAAATATACTACCTCCGGGTTTTTTTAATCTTCACAATTTGACTTCACACAAAATAAGGAAAGAAATTTTACTCTACTGTAGAGTACACTGTTGAGGCACTGTTTGACACTGTTTGGCACTGTAGAGACACTGTTTGGCACTGTTGAGACACTGTTTGGCACTGTTTTGATATAGATTTCTTTGCCAAAAAAGGAAATAAGGAAGTGTGAAGTTTATTTTAGACCGTCCCAAAAAGGAAAGTGTGAAGTTTATTAAAAACCGGAGGGAGTATATAATATTGAGTTTGAAGTAATGTTTACTTTCCATGGCATTGTCTTTACATCCAAGCTTAATCTACATTTAATTGTACAGGCAAAACATAATGTAGTACTTTATTACTCTCTATGTTGCTCGCAGCAACAAAAAACCTTATTATTTACAACACCCTTTTCAATCATTTCATTTTCATTTACCCCAGTGCCGCAAAGACTCCCACCTACGGTGGGGTAAGGGGGGTCGGATGTACGCAGTCTTACCCCTGTACTAAAGCACAGAGAGACTGTTTCCGGATGACCCATAATGAAAATCGCATCCAAAATTGCACGGACTGACTGTTGCTTCATAACAAAGAAGCGCAGACAGTTTAGTGAGCCATTTTGCTTTATTCCATCATATTATCAAGCCAAAAAATAATGAATCTTTGGCTCCATTGCAAATGATGTAAAAAGATAATATTGTTGTTTCCCCTACTCATTTTAAGGAGTAACAATGCAGAACTGCTGGCATTGGATTAAATTGCATAGAATTTTCAAAGAACACCAAAGCATCCTGTTGTGGTATCATCCTGGGATGTAAAAGTCATAATGTAATCGCAGTATAATATCAAACTGTTTCAGTTGACCACAAATGGGGTGTTAGGAATCATGTCCTCCGTTTTTTATACATTGCAACACTTTCCCTTTTTGGAAGTTTAAAAAAATGCAACATTACTCTTTTAGGTAAAAACAAATACCTAGAATGACTTTTCTATCCTTACTCATCTCATTTATTTCTCCTTATAAATTTTTAATTAACATACCTACCTTTTCTATTTTACTTTACCACCCATTATCAATTACACCTCTCTCTCTTCTATGTTCACACACGTCACTCCCCATCTCTTCCTCATATCTTACATTTCTTTTCCTCAATTCCATCTAAAAAATCAGATCTAGATTTTGATCTTCACATTTATTGTACTTCTTCCGTTTCTACCACGCCTTTCACCTTCAACTCTCATCTTCATTTTGCTTTTTTCGGCAAAGTGGAGATTGACTCACAAGATACCAATGTGCAACATAGATCACTCATATTAAAGAATAAAGAACCAAAACACATGACTGTCTTCAAAAATGAAGAAACAAAAAAAGAAGAAAGGGAAAGAAATGTAAGGTAAACAGGCGAGTTGGCGAGAAGTGATGGCGAGTAACGACAGAAAGCAATGGCAGGAGTGCATTTCTCGTATGTATTTTCTCTTTTTTCACCAATTAAATAAATATATTTCTTGGAAACAGGTCCGGTTGAAAGGTTAAAATTGATTTAGCAAAGATTTCTGGTCCGGGGATTGCCCAAATCACCTAGTTTATGCCTAAGTTACGCCGATCAATGCAATGTGAGCTTCAGTCCAAATGACCTTCCAATCCTTCCACGGCGAAGATGCTCACCGCCAGGACACCTAGTTGTTGCCTAGGACCCTAGGTAATGCCGTGATAACTACGCTCCCATTCCGCACAAATGTCATATCTCCAAATTGGGGTCAAATAGAAGGAGAGAATAAGATATTCCCCTATAAAAAACAAAATCTAGTATCCTTTTATAGATTATACGGAGGACTACTTTAAATCCACTTTGTTCCCCTTATTTGCTAACTTTTTTATCATTTACCATCACTGCCTTTCATTTAGTAACCTTCCTCTCCAATTAAAACACACTGTTAATCCTCCTACACTATTGGGAGAAAGAATATTTCCCAGATTTAGTGGCAATCCCTCTAGGCTAATCAATAATTACAGATTGATATGCAGAGTTTCCAATCACTGTAAGTACTACAGCATAAAGAAAAAATATCCTACAACTCTAGGATGGAGTAGTTATGATGTGTTTGTAGTATGTACCACCAACTCATAGTACGCAGAATAGTACTGAGGGAATCTCCCAGAAGCCCCGCCAACTGAAGTCTGTGCAGCATCTAGAAGAAGAAAAATCTTCTCCCTTACAGGTACATCTGACTATAGAGCAAGTTTTTGTTAAAGACATACTGGATTCATGGAGATGGGAATAATTGCACCGAGAGAAGATAAAGAACCTTTTTCTTTACTATCTTTACAAGAATTGGGAGAGCCCCTATGTCTATAACCTGCTTGTGAACAGGATCTCCAATGTTGTTCATTAGCATCTCCAGCAACTGAAATTATTAAATATGCTTATCCAGAATAACTCCTTAAAATGGAAAATGAATCATAAACAGACATAAGCGTGGCATGACTAACCGTCACAGCCAACAATTGAGTAGTTGGGTTCTTTTTCCCGAGGCGCTTCTTTATTGCTTTAATAACATCTTTAGCTTGACTGAAGAAATCGAAGAGAGCCAATATTTCAGGACACATACTTGTAAATGTGAAATAGCCAACTTTCAATGGTGTAGAAACTTTTTTCTCCACATGCCACAAAGCACTAGAAGGAGAGCCATGGAGCACCGGTTATGGTGTCGATGTGTGACCGAGAGGTCATGGGTTCAAGTCTTGGGAGCAGCCTCTTGTCAAAATGACAAGGGAAGGTTTGCTCCTTATACACCTTGGTGGTGGGACCCTTCCTCGGATCCTCGCCTTTCGGGGACACCAATGTGCACCAGGCTGCCCTTAAGCCCTTTTATGTCATGAAGCACTACTTCAATGGAAAATTGGCATTAAAAGGAATATTTTTATTTTTTAATGATGCATGTATCTGCATTTTATGAAAACTTGTCCAAACAAGAATTTGAATTAGGCTTCAGTTGCTTAATAGTGTATATTAGCATTCTACTGAAAACACAGCTGAAGGCAACGTTGTCCCTTAGGGTCCATTCAGAACACACACAAATGCTAGGGTAAAAATAGGGGGGAACTAGAGGGATATAAATCAATTTTAGATATTTTTCAAGTTCATTTTATTCATATATTTATATTATTTACAGAATAAGAAATCTAATCTAAATAAATGCAAAAGTTTGTAAAGTTTGAATCGAACTTGGTTGTCTCCGTACTTTCCAATATAGAGAACTGTGCATTAAAAGATACTAGTACTTGGCATTTTCCCCCTTACCCACCAATTCCCTCCCTCTAAACATACCGCTTTATGCTGAACTGCTGAAGCACTATGAAAAAACAACGCCAAGACTTCGCAAACATTGACAACATAAATAGATAATGAAACGCATATCAGGGAAACTGATAGGTTGTACCTGTGATCACGAGCAACTAACTCACAAATCTGAATGTTTTTCGCCCAGTCTGTTTCCTCAAGTTTTTCACTCGTTGCAGAACTAACAAGCTCAGAGGCCATCTTTTTATCCAAGAGTTAGCTTTCAGCACAAAAATCTCTCACTTGATTAAACTATTAAAGAAGCAGAGAATGTGCCTTTAACACGAAAACTTGCGCATCAAACTTCTTACACCTCACACTTGAATCCAGCTCCCCCTATTAGCTTCTTTTTCTATACATATGGGGAAAAAAAATCTTAAACTCTTCAACTGCAAGCCGTTCAGAAGAACAAGGTCCTTCCTCAGTCGCAAATTAAAAAGAAACTTTTACTCTTAACTCTAAGATGAACACGAAATCAAACCCAGCTGCCAGATATTCAATTAATTTAATCCGCGGGTGTCTTTCCCACCAAATACTCCATTGAATATCATTTACGCATTCAAATCTCAGCCTGGCTTCTACTGGACGACATAATTGAACAGCCCAATCCTAAATAGTAAAATCATACCTCAAGAAAAGTCAATACAAGTTATACAACCGAGCTAATGTCAATCAGTAAATTCATCAACTTTCCTACAAAAATCTACACTTTGAGGCTTATCGATCGAAGATACTGACCTGCAATAGACGCTAGCTCAACGAATCAGCTCATTACACCTCCAGGTTAAAGGCATAAAGAGATGCCAGACTGTATGTCTGTATATGTTTGTGTGCGTGTGCGATATCGGAATATGGGTATAAACAAACTAAAATGGTTTGGCGATGAAGAAAACCAGGTGCTGTAGAATCTCTTACAAATTCACATTGAAGGTTTCTTTAGTAGCAATACTCAATTTCTTTGGTTCTCGTTATCTCGTATGTTTTCTCGTCATGCCGATGCGGTTGGTCGCATGATATCAATGTTTTTTTCGAAATATGTGCACAGTGGCACTAAGAGAGTGAAAAAATTTACCAAGTTTAAGTTGGAATATATAGAGCCTCTGTTTTCGGCTTATCAGGCTTATCAGCCAACTTTTTCACCAAACACGTAATTTTTACTTTCGCGCGCTGAATTGTGTAATAAGCCGAAAAAGTAAGGTTGGAGTTACTTTTCTGGCTGTATTGGCTGAAGTTACTGTAGAGGACCATTTTAGCTATTTTTACATATAATTTTTTCTTTAATTTATTAATGAAATATATTTTTAAAATATTTTTTTCTTAAATCAGCAGAATCAGCCAAAACAGCCACTCCAGCCAGAATATCATAAATTTCAGCAGAATCAGCAAAAACAGCCGATTTTGGTGCTACCAAACGGGCTCATAGATTCTAATGGAAGAAGTTTGAGTTAAAATAGTTGTATGGGTTGATTCTCATATTTTTTATTCAGTGGGGTTTATATTGATAAAATAACATTCAGATATGGTTTGAAAAAACAAAAGGATCACATATAATCATCCGCCCTTAGACCAGACTTAGAGTTAATAACATTTGACAAAGCAACATAACTTGTTGATCCTAACTTGGGCATAGTTAAGCGAACGACGATTACCGCAGACCTTTCATCACTCATTCCTAATGCAAAAGTCTTACAGTAAAAAAACATAAATTAAAAAGTCTTATAGTAAAATAAATAAAAAACATAACACAATTGTCTTAGCATCGAAAATAAAAAAGAAAAATAGTAAAAATGTTGAAATTCAGATGCCTCCTTATCACCACCAAGAGCCACCACCGAACTCACATTGCCTGAAACGCCCTCATATTTCTCAACCAGGTGGCAGTTCGGCAGGGGGCCGGGCCTTGGGTCTGTCTTCTGCCTCGATCAGCCCTTCACAGCTTCTCGTCCTCTCATTGCTCATGCCGTCTCAACCAAAACCAATAACAATCCACTCATTCTCTTCCTCAAGTATAAATCATTGTCATCTCTGCACCAAATCTTCAATTGGAGTCGTCTTTTCCACGGTCTCTCCCGCTGCCCGCATCTGTTTGGATCTTCCGAACAAAGGAGACCTGTGCACCTAATCTGCCGAATCAAGAACCCGATTTCCCTCTGCCAAATCAAGTTCCCAGGTACAGACACAAAACTTATGGAAAGGATCCTCGATGCGAACAAAAACAGAGCCCCAATCCCGAATGCCGACTGCTCTATGCCACACCCCAGATAATCATAAACGTGCTAGGCCACTCCGTCAGACACTAGCGAACGAATCGCCGCCAGAAAACCAAAACCTAGAAGTCTAGGTAGACATCCGCTGATTCTCCTTATTTATGATATATATATATATATATATATATATATACACACACACATATATATACATATATATATTACTGATAAACTAAAGATAAAATTATATGATAAAATATCCAAAATTGTCTTATATATTAATTTCAGCTAATAGAGTCATAAAATTAACTACAACTTTACTTTTTAATATTATTACACAATTCAGCACGTCGAGTCAAAAGTTACGTGTTTGGTTAAAAGGTTGGTTGAAGCCGGATAATCCGAAAACAGAGTCACCAAAGGGCTCTAAGTGCATTAAATTGTGTAAGAAATACTCCAATCCCTCACATTTTATAAAGAGAAAATCGTTAGTACTAATACATAAATTTCTTTCAAAAACATGATTTTATATTTGGTTTTTCGTGATTCTCAAAAAATGATTTGTTTTTCCTAAATATGAGAGCTCATTCTATTTTTATCCATAAGTAATTAATCAATCTAATTAATTATTCCTAATTTCCTTGCATAATCAAATCAAATCCTTGGTGGTGTAGTCGAATCGGTCAAACTCTATCAACGGCATTTTAATGTTTTGGAAAGACATTAGGTGTCATGTTTTCCAAACTGAAAATGTCATTTTATTTCTGTCAGAAGTCAGAACCACAATAGTGTGATTAAGATGGTAATACAAGTACAATATGGTAGGATGGTAGACGCATATCAGGGAAGCTAAAATGTTGTACTTGTGATCACAAGCAACTAAAATGTTGTACTTTTTTGCCCAGTCTATTGTTTCCTCCAGTTTTTCACACTAACAAGCTCAGAGGACATCATTCTATCCAAGAGTTAGCTTTAAGCACAATCTCACTATTAATTGGTGTAAAAAAAATACTCCAATTCCTCACATTTTATAAGGAGAAAATTGTCATCAGTAGTACTACAACACAAACTTCTTTCAAAAATTAGACCTTATGAGCCCGTTTGGTAGCATGAAAATCGGCTGATTCTGCTGAAATTTATGAAGTTCTGGCTGAAGTGGCTGCATTGACTGATTCTGCTGATTTAAGAAAAATTTATTTTTAAAATATATTTTATTAATAAAATAAAGAAAAAATTATATGTAAAAATAGTTTAAATGACCATCTACAGTAACTTCGGCCAATACAGCCAGAAAAGTAACTCCAATCTTACTTTTTCTGATTATTACACAATTCAGCGCGCGAAAGGAAAAATTACGTGTTTGGTAAAAAAGTTGATTGATAAGCCTGTTAAGCTCAAAAACATTGTTGTCAAACGGCTTCCATGTTTGGTTTTCACTTATTCTCAAAAACACATGGAACGGTTAATTAAATGCAATAAAAAAAAGTTACATGGTATGATTACGGTTGTATGTTAACCTCGATTAACCAAAAATTAGATTTGGTGGAAAATGACAAAATGATTTGTAACATATGATGTCCTTCCCTCCAGTGCCACGTTGATAATAATATACTCCCTCCGTTCTCTAATAAATGGGAAGTATAGAGTTTGGTACAAGTTTTAAGGGGAAATAATAGGGGTGGTATAAAAGGTATAGTGAGGTGTGTTTGAATGAAAAAGTAGAAAAGAGAATGAAAAAGTAGGAAAGAGAATGATGGTAGATAGATATATTTAATGGAAAAACTTTCTAAAAATGGAAAGGGGGACAAATATTAAAGAACACTCCGAAATAGAAAGTGAGACATCTATTAAAGAACGGAGGATATATCTTGTGTTAACAACCTACTACTTGAGAGCTACCTAGCTCTATGTACTTGTTAATTAGTTTTTTAGAGTACATAGTTGTTTTTTAATTTCGTCGATGGTAAATATTTAAAGACTTTACCGTTTTTACTTGTTATAGTAAAAAGAAAGGAATGAGCTTTTGTCCACAGTGTACATTGGTCTACAGACTGGTATGAATTGTCAAGTACTCCCTCTGTCCCTAAAAGAAGTTCCATTTCGCTTATCGAAGGTCAACTTAAATCACTCTTAAACTCTTACTTTTTATATCAAAATTTTATAAAAGCTGAATTATTTTTTGCAGGCTTTGTAGCGGGTTTAATGTAGTTTCTGAATATGTAAATTTTATTTACTAAAAATAATCTGAGTTTTCACAGGGATCATTTAACTTTATCGTCGGTCAACCTTCGTAATCCGCAATTGGAACAACATTTAGGGACGGAGGGAGTATTATTGTTGTTGTGGTTGTTCGTCAATATTTTGTCGAAGGGGTGATTGTCTTGCTATGGAGGTCATTTACAAAAGTGTAAGTACAAAATATAAAAACAACAAGAATATTGACAAGTCTATCTTTTCCTTTCATGGTTTTATGGTTTATTGGTTAACCGTTAGTAATTAATCGAAATTTTGATTAACCGATACTCGGTTAACCAATGTTATGGTACAAGTAACATTATTGATAATTTAATAACCGCTAACTTGGTTAACTAGAAATTGGTTAACCAAAATCCGGTTAACCAACTGTGCCCACCCCTAGCGATAACCGTGACACAAGCCGTCGCTAGCAATTTCATAATAATAAACTAATAGTGACATGTTAATTTAAGGAAATCCCTAAGAATAAATGAAAGTACATATTAATCAATGTTAGAATGTTTCAGTTGGACTAACTCTCTAATCTAGTACTTAGTATAATATAATATATTCATATGATCATATGTTACTATTGTCATAGTTAACTCTGATACGTAATAAAGGCTAAAGGGTCAAATAGGCCCTTGAACTAACTTAAAGTGTTCAATTAGCCCCTTGTATAGGAAGTTCTGCCCGGCCGTCACCAATTGGGGCGGTTCCCGGTCGAATTTTTTGATGAAATTTTATGAGCATCTTCTTCATTAAGTCTAGTTTAACCATACCAAATTTTAGCTAAAAATTCAACCGGAAAGGCAGTCAAATGATTTTTTGAAGATAACTGTGCAATTAAACAGCGTATTACATTTCGGATTTGACTGCCTTCTTGATTTAATTTTTAGCTGAATTTTGATATGAGTAAACTAGACTTAATGAAGAAGATGCTCAAAAAATTTCATCAAAAAATTCCACCGGGAACCGCCCCAATTGACGACGGCCGGGCAGAATCTCCTATATGACCCTTTAGCCTTTAGCCTATATGATCATTTAAGGGGCTAATTGAACACTTTAAGTTAGTTCAAGGTCCTATTTGACCCTTTAGCCTATGTATAAATGATTTCATGTTGAAACAAATTCATGGTAAGAAACCTAAAAACTGATCTATCATCATTGCTTTCAACCAAACTCCATGGTAAGAAACTTAAACACTTGAATCTCAGCGGAGGTCTACATTAAAATGGACTCATTGCTCACAACAAAACTAATCTTAGCACGCATATGAATAAATATACGGAGTATGTAGTACCAAATATACTGATTACGTACTTTTTCAATTAAAATCACATTCAGAGAGTACTAAACTTTGACCTGATTTCAATTCTTGCATATAAACGTTGATCATTTAAGAATGCTTACATAATCAATTGTTACATTATGCGAGAGCTTGGATTTATGATGAGTTGAAAAAACTGGAAAATACGGATTTGGCTTTCGGGTTGCTGCAATTCCACAAAAGGGAATTTAGAATAAAGAAATGATCTCCCAGACTATGGATCCAATGGCCGCTTCCTACTTGAGAAATAACTTTCGAAGTGTAGGTACCAGATTATTATCCCCAGTTCTTGTTCCAGAATTTCTTTATTAGGACCTAAGGAATAATAGCAAGTCTTTAGGTAAGATTAAAAAAAACTTCATAATGAATTCAATCCTAATGAGGCACACAAAAACCAGTTCATAAATACATGCATTAAAGTTTATTATTAACACACTTACCCATTAAATATTACTTCAATCAACATGGGTAGAGGATTAGAGGAAGTAATAAACTAGTAACTATAATAGCTGCATAAGAAGTTGGTTTGTGTTTATCAGGTAGGTAGAACAAATAAACCGCAGTGCATACAAACTCACTCAGTAAAAGGATGACATCCCATATCCGAGGCCCGAGGGCACCCAGTGTCTCAACAGTTATGTGTGAAAATGTAAATTGAGTTTGATCACACAATGATGGGAAGAGACTGAAGTTTCGACTTCACTCTTTAGGACGTAGAGATGGAAATGGGAGGTTGAGAATCAACACGTTGACCTTTCTTCAAAAGCTCTTCCAGGTTGAGTCTCCGGCAGGTCAACACATCTCCAGACTCTTTCCACACAAAAGCCAACAACGTCTCCATGGTCTTTGCCTCTTGGATCACATAGAGTGACCCAGGTTTTCTACCAGGGCAGTTATATCCATACCCACTGGCAATGCCTTTGCCTAAAAAGGTATTCTTCACATCACCATCCCATGGGAACTCATCAGGCGATGGCTCATCAACTTTCACCTCAAACATGGGCGATCCATTTGGCCATGAACAACCATTTAATATGGTGGTGGCAACGAGTGTATTCCGGCCATCCGACACTTCATAAGAGAGCATAAGAAGGCATGTAGACTTTCGGGAATGCTTCCCGAGAGGCCACCCGAAAATGCCTCCCCATAAACCAGCATATTCAATATCCTGAACAGGCAGCTTGCTGAGCATATAATTACTTTCATTTAGCATGACTGGCCATGCCATGAAATAATCTAGATTTTTAGTGGAAGCGTGCAAACTGAGTGAAATGGTTTCGCCCAATTGCAGAAACTCGGGAAGCCGTGTGTCATACTCGTCATAGTCCGTGTAGGGTAATAAGCCCTGCCTCTGAAGCCAAATGCTCTCATTAATGTTCTTGAATACGGAACATCTCCTCTCTCGAATACGTTTTTCGGCAATTTCGCGAGCAGCTCGACCTGCTTGAACAACATTCGGCCTTATCTCATTCAAACTGCAATATAGAGGGGATTCCTCGCCGTTACTCCCCTTGATGTTACTACGAATTCGGGCAAGAAGCAAACTGATTCTCTCGCGCAAGACTGTTGTCATATCCTGGAGCTTCATTTGAACTTCATTGTTGATAGCCGCACGTGGAAACAACAAGGCATTAGCAGTTGCGGATTTTGGAACTTCATGACGCACCTTGTTAATGACTGCCTCAAGTAAACTTCTCATGTCATTAAAAGCCAAACTGTTAAAACTCACATCAGATTCAGTACGTCCACTAGGCTCAGCCTCTAAGAAAAGAACATTGCAAGGCCTAAACCCATATGATTTCACTAAGACTGTATGATTGCAAGTCGTCTTGTGGATTGGCTGCTTAATAAAACCAGGACAGACATAGTCACACCCATTCTCCCTCCCATGGAGAAAGAATGCAGCGGCCGAGCCATCATAATCACAGATGATTTCAAACACGGGGGCCCAACGAATCGGTCCATTATCCTCGAGGCCGAGAGGAAGTTGTTGGGGGAGAATCCGGCAGCCGATGGCTGAAAGAAAACCAGGCATGACATAAACAACATTCCCAATGTCAGGGTTTTGGCTAACCCAAATGCCAAGAAAAGGGCTTATTCCTACAAGGAAACGGCATAGAGACTTGAAAGAAGAAACACCCTTTCGCCATTCGATCAGCTCCGGGCTGGAAACCAACCCGAGCGCCTCACATTGAGCCAGCCATATCTTTTCGGAGGTCACTAGCTCCTGCAAGCTCTTGCAGCACAGGGTTAGACTGCACAAATCCCTTGGGGACAGACCGGATTTAGTCACTATTTCAAACAAATCCTGCGGCAGTGCCAGCAAGAAGGTTGAACCACAACGTTTATTTCTCATCATCCAATTCTGAAGTTAATTGAATTGAAGCGCCCTATATATCTGCTATACTCCTTGTTATTAATCTTGGCAACAATTCTATCAATATACTCGTATGTATTTATACATATTGATAGATTAATAATTAATTAATTATTGTGCGAATTTACACCTCTATTTCAAATGATATATCATTCCTGTATTACTCTCCCATTTGGCCTAATGTAATTATAGCATAGAAAATTAGTAGGAAAGGTGGTTACCTATTTTAGCTTGATCTCTAATTGTATGTTCAAATGCTCACAACTAATACCCATTCTCTCGTGTATGGCCATAGAAGGTATGGGATCTATTCCTATGGCGGCGTTTCTAACGAACTGCCAACTCCTACACAAATAGCTGACTATTTCAAATGTATCCAAATTAACAAACTCATAATTAATTACTCGTAATAGTTAATGTTTAGATGAGATAATTCGGTTGCTACCCAATTCCTATTCCGGCGATTCCCTGAGCCAAGTCTAATCCGACTCCCGAAAATTACTATTCGGTATGAAATTAGCTCCATGGGAAATGTTCAATGAATCCAATAATACTTCAATCTTCGTATCAAAATTATTTAGAGAAATAATGGAGATTTGAGAGATGGAATACATAGGTTACATATTTCTATGCATACATATAAATTAGATTATCCAGCCAGGTGACTTACATTTTCTATAACACGAGTAACATAACAAAATAAATCCTTAAAAACAAAACATATTGACTATTTACGTAAAGTAATTGGGCAATTAGGTTCCTTAATTTCATTGGTTACATTTGATAGTAATATAGTATATGAAGTTACATTTCTTAGAGGAAGCGGTCCAACCTAGCTGGTCGACGACTCACTCTCCATTATGGGAGATCCCGGGTTCAATATTTAATGGAGTGGAATTAATCTCAGTTTACCACAGGCCCCCAAACCCCCCTCCCCATGACGCCCCATGGGGTAAATAAAAAATACATCTTCTTATGTGTGAGTTATCTCTTTGTATGCATGAGTTACATTTTCATATGTGCGGATTAGATTTGAACTTGCCTCAATAAGTTACGTTTTGCATACACCTACGTTAAGTTTTTTATCAACGTGATTACATTGTTCATAACACAAGTTACATAACAAAATAAAAAACTACTATTGAAACCAAAAATCATTTTTTTTGCAAAGTTCTTTTTTTTGGCAAAAAATATTTTTTTTTTGCAAAAACAAAATTGTTTTTTTGGCAAAAAATCATTTTTTTAGAAAACATTTGTATGACCTTAATAATAAAAACAAAAACATATTCACGGTTTATGTAAAGTAATTGAGCAATTAGATTACTTTTTTTCATTGTTTACATTGAAATCAACGATTTATTTCTTGTACTCTATATTAGCTAGACAAATTACATTTCGACTTGTCTATTGTTACATTTATTTTAAATCAACGTGAGTTACATTATTTTACATGCGAGTTACATCACCCTACTATTGTGACAAAAAACTATTGTTCTTGCGTGATTTAGGTGTGGGAGCACCATGCTCACCACGGGCTGCTCCCCTGCTCACAGTATAACAACTAGTGTTTTCTTTCCTAAACATAGGATTTATGCTATTCTAATAAAATAAAAAAGGATTAAAGAGTCATTGAGTTTTGTTATTTTAACTTCGATTTAGGTGATTCTTTTTAATTTTATCTACAATTGCATCTTTGCACACACATAATGTAAATTGACCTTCTTTTTATACACACATAAGTTTAATTGCAATGGTCAACTTTTTACATTTGCCAACACACAAATTTGAATATTACAGAGTAATATCTTTCATTCCTTATTATTAAAAAAATTAAAAAATTCTGATTTTGAAATTTTAAGAAGACGGAAATTTAACATTTTTAAAAAATAAATAATTTATAATAAGTTAATTGATAAAATAGAGTCAAACTAGAATATATATAAATAGTTCAAATAGTCCAATGTTGCATTTACATATATTTTAATCCATGAACTCGATCATAGTTCAGAAAACTTTAGGACAAGAGGTCTACAGGTTCATCAGTTATTACATTTCGTTTGGACAGACTTTATTATGGAGTATATGATTAAGTTATAGTATAGGTTTCCCGTCATTCAGAAAATTTTCTGGATACACCAGTGAGCCTACGGCCCTCGAGAAAAGTTTCCCGGGCCCGCAGGTGATAGGACTTGAAAATGTGAGTCTCAGAGGAGGTCTATATTAAAATTGACTCATTTCTCTCTACAAAATTAATCTTAGCACACATACGGATAAATGTATACAACTATACAAGATATATTGATTGCATACTATTTCAATTAAAATCAGATACGAAGCACTAAACTTTGACCTTTTGAGAATGTTTACATAATCATTTGTTACGTTATCTTTGGTTCTCATACATGCCAGAGCTTGGATATACACGAAATGAAAAAACAGGAAAATAGTCAAAATACGGACTTGGCTTTGGGGTTGCTGCAATTCCACAAAAAGGAATTTAAAACAAAGAAATGATCTCTCAGACTATGGATACCATGACAGCGCCTAAGACTAAGACTAAGAGAAAAAATTAATAGGGATAGCTACTTGAGAAATGAGTTTCAAATTGTTTAAACCCATGAGTAACATGCCCAGTTCATGTTCCAGACTTTTTTCATTAGGATATGACTTGCATACATAAGGGTCGAGAAGTTCAACAAAATGCAATCACAAAATAAAAAGTGAGAAATTAAGACCTAAGCAATAACAGCAAGTCTTTAGGCCAGTAAGATAAAAAAAAACATCACAATGAATTCAATTCTAACGAGGCACGCAACTCAAGTCTTTATTTAGTAAAGAATTTACTCGTAGTCAAAATTGAATGGAGTAAAGCTGGAAGTGGGAGGTTGAGAATCAACACGTTGACCTTTTTTCAAAAGCTCTTCCAGGTTGAGTCTCCGGCAGGTCAACACATCTCCAGACTCTTTCCACACAAAAGCCAACAACGTCTCCATGGTCTTTGCCTCTTGGATCACATAGAGTGACCCAGGTTTTCTACCAGGGCAGTTATATCCATACCCACTGGCAATGCCTTTGCCTAACAAGGTATTCTTCACATCACCATCCCATGGGAACTCATCAGGCGATGGCTCATCAACTTTCACCTCAAACATGGGCGATCCATTTGGCCATGAACAACCATTTAATATGGTGGTGGCAACGAGTGTATTCCGGCCATCCGACACTTCATAAGAGAGCATAAGAAGGCATGTAGACTTTCGGGAATGCTTCCCGAGAGGCCACCCGAAAATGCCTCCCCATAAACCAGCATATTCAATATCCTGAACAGGCAGCTTGCTGAGCATATAATTACTTTCGTTTAGCATGACGGGCCATGCCATGAAATAATCTAGATTTTTAGTGGAAGCGTGCAAACTGAGTGAAATGGTTTCGCCCAATTGCAGAAACTCGGGAAGCCGTGTGTCATACTCGTCATAGTCTGTGTAGGGTAATAAGCCCTGCCTCTGAAGCCAAATGCTCTCATTAATGTTCTTGAATACGGAACATCTCCTCTCTCGAATACGTTTTTCGGCAATTTCGCGAGCAGCTCGACCTGCTTGAACAACATTCGGCCTTATCTCATTCAAACTGCAATATAGAGGGGATTCCTCGCCGTTACTCCCCTTGATGTTACTACGAATTCGGGCAAGAAGCAAATCGATTCTTTCACGCAAGACCGTTGTCATATCCTGGAGCTTCATTTGAACTTCATTGTTGATAGCCGCACGTGGAAACAACAAGGCATTAGCAGTTGCGGATTTTGGAACTTCATGACGCACCTTGTTAATGACTGCCTCAAGTAAATCTCTCATGTCATTAAAAGCCAAACTGTTAAAACTCACATCAGATTCAGTACGTCCACTAGGCTCAGCCTCTAAGAAAAGAACATTGCAAGGCCTAACCCCATATGATTTCACTAAGACTGTATGATTGCAAGTCGTCCTGTGGATTGGCTGCTTAATAAAACCAGGACAGACATAGTCACACCCATTCTCCCTCCCATGGAGAAAGAATGCAGCGGCCGAGCCATCATAATCACAGATGATTTCAAACATGGGGGCCCAACGAATCGGTCCATTATCCTCGAGGCCGAGAGGAAGTTGTTGGGGGAGAATCCGGCAGCCGATGGCTGAAAGAAAACCAGGCATGACATAAACAACATTCCCAATGTCAGGGTTTTGGCTAACCCAAATGCCAAGAAAAGGGCTTATTCCTACAAAGAAACGGCATAGAGACTTGAAAGAAGAAACACCCTTTCGCCATTCGAACAGCTCCGGGCTGGAAACCAACCCGAGCGCCTCACATTGAGCCAGCCATATCTTTTCGGAGGTCACTAGCTCCTGCAAGCTCTTGCAGCACAGGGTTAGACTGCACAAATCCCTTGGGGACAGACCGGATTTAGTCACTATTTCAAACAAATCCTGCGGCAGTGCCAGCAAGAAGGTTGAACCACAACGTTTATTTCTCATCATCCAATTCTGAAGTTAATTGAATTGAAGCGCCCTATATATCCTTGTAAATAATCTTGGGATGAAGGCATAAAAGAACTTGGCAACAGTTCTATCAATAACTTATACGGAGTGACTAATTAAGTATTGTGCGAATATACACCTCTATTTCACATACAGAGTAATATATTATTCCCGTTTTACTCTTCTAAGGAAAGCTAGTTACCTATTTTAGCTAGATCTTTAATTCTATAATATCCATTGTCTCGTGCATGGCCACAGAAGATATGTATCTATTCCTATGGCGTTTCTAACGAACTGCCTACTCCTTTGCAAGTAGCTGACTATTTCAAATGTATCCAAATTAAATCATTAATTAATTCATAGTTAAGGCTTTAAAAAAATTAATTCATACTTAGAGCATCTCCAATGTTATAATGTGCACGGTGCACATGTGGCATGAATGATAGTCACATAAATAATAGCAAATAAATTATTTCTCTCCTTATTTTAATGATTTTATACAATTTTGGTAAGTTTTTCCCTGCAATGTCAACAACAATGTCAACATCTAGACGATCTCCTTGACATTTTAGAGAAAAACTTATCAAAACTGTATAAAATCATTCAAATAAGGAGAGAAAGAATTTATTTACTAATATTTATGTGGCTATTTCTCATGCCACGTGTGCACCGTGCACATTTCTGCTCCGATTTATTTTGATCGAGATATACAGAGTATTTTGTTCGAAAATTACTACTCCTTAGAGCATCTCCATTCATGCTCTCTAAAAAATTTGATTTTTTCTACCACATCATGAACACGTAAAAAATCTGAAATAATCTTAAAACTCAAAAAGTCCCCTCAACCATCATCTTTAATTTTCAGATTATTGGTGGGACATACATTAAAAAAAAGTATACATACGAAACTATACAAATCCATGTACCACTAATCAAAATATAAAAATTAGCCACTGTAAACTTTCGTATTTAATGCATTACACATATGTAACCTCTTTCCAATTTTTTATATTTAATGCTTTTTTCTTGGACTCTACGAATGATTAAAAAGAAGGCCAAAAATCTCCAAATAATCTAGTTTCAATATTTGATACCAGATTTTTTAAGAAAATAATCTTTGCAAATAATCTCTTCTTCTCAATCATAATCTCAAAGAAAATCATCCACATCATCCAATTGATCTCTAAATAATCTAAACAATGGGGATGCTCTTACTTCATATCAAAATTATTTAGAGAATTAATTGAGGGAATAGATAGTGAACCCATTAGGGAAAAAAAATTTATGTTGTGACTAAATCTAACTTTGATTACTCCCTTCATCCCAAAAAATCTTCTCACTTATGATTTTAGAATATTCCAAAAAAACTTCTCATTTTAATCTTGTTTTTAATCATTTCTCATTTTAATCTTTGAAAATTTTTATGTAGATGATATTTATTTACTTTTTCTCTCTCACTCAATCATAACCATACATTTTCGTTTTATTTCTACTTACTTAATAAGTGCGTCAATTCAAACCGAGAAGATTTTTTTGGGACAGACGACTTACAAGAATTGGACTATAATTTTAAAATTCCCTAAATATGACTATCTTTCCAATCCTACTTTTGCTTTGTTTTAATACAATTCATATTTCATTAATTAGTAATTAAAGTTTAAATGTAATAATATATTATTACTGATAATAAAAAAAAAGTAAAAACTTAAAAACACTAAAATAAATACTCCGTATTAAATAAAATAATAAAGATAAAAAAAATAAAAACAAAACTTCAAAAATTAAATAAAATATGTTTGAAATAAAAATAAAAATATGCAGTCCTCTACTTCCACCTCAACAACCTCTCAGCACCACCATTTTTGATCACCGGAAAACAATTCAACATGTGCCAGCAATGTCATCTTCATGGAAGCTTTAGAGAAAAAAAATTGACATTTTTAAAGAGTTAAATTGTCATCCTCATTGCATTTTCAGTTTAAAATGACGTATTTATACAAAATTGCATTTTTTCGTCAATCAAAGGTGACATTACTAAAAAGTGGTAGAGGTTGTTGGGAAGACCTCCATACTTTTTAAATATCTTTTATGTGTTTTGTCTATATTTATTTATTTTTTATTTATTTATTTTATTTATTTTATTTTATTTTATTATTTTTTACAAACATTTAAAAAAATCTATACTTTTTCATGATTTTATTATAAATTAAAATATTATTTTTATTATTTTTGTTTTATTACAAATTAAAATATGATTTTCCTATTAATTTATGATAATAGTAGAAGATAGAGTACACTTTAGTCCTGTTTTGTTGGTAAGTTTTTAAGCCGATTTGTCTTTACCATATTTCCGTTTCTAAAATTTTGAAGTAATTAATATACAAGCTTTATTGATTATTCAATTAACCTCTGTGGATTGTGGTACTCCAATTCTATTTGCTACATTAATCTAAAAGAAAATCTATCTATATATAAAAAGAGGTGAAATCAAGTCACTTTACCCGCTCAAACTCTATATAACCTCTGTGGATAGTTTATTACCTTTGGTCATTAATCATTCATTCTAAAAGTTATTTAGTTTTGGTTAGCATTTATTTATTCAAATGTCAATCCTAACTAATGTTTATCTTCATTTCTTTCAGGATTGAAATTTATTTCAACTGCAAAGATGCCGTATGGATAAGGTCTATATTATTATGACATATAAGCTCAACATGACATGAGAATATAACATCAATCCTTGATGTGGTTAAATAAGAATACCATCATTAAATTATGCCATTATAACATGAGTACATGACATAAGAAATAAACCTGAATATGTTTTTGAGTAGCATTAAAGAAAGCAACCCAGATTAGATAGCATTAAAGAAACAAACTTGCCATTTGTGTTATGAGTTTACTCATTTTTGTTTTCATCTATTCAAGTGATAGGTTTTGTCTTTGATAGATCGGCCATATGATTCTTTTTACTTATATCACTATTTTGCTTCATGTTTCTAAATTGTTAATTCCTTTATACTCTATATAGAAACTGCTTTCTCCATCTTATTGGATCGCAATAACAGTTAGAATAACATTCAGAATAAAACAACTTCATTTATACTCTAGCTCTATATAGAAATTGCCTTCTCCAAAAAGAGAAGACTTTATCATGTTTCATAGTTATTGAAAAATCAACAAAGCTAAAGTTAATGTAAAATTGATAGAGTTATGTGTAATTCATTTGGCTAGAGAATTTAAATTAAATTCTAGATCCTTTTTACTCTCTAAATTTTAGTGCCTTACTTCATTTCTTTTCTTTCAAATAGCAGAAGGGGAGTATGGTCTTCCCACTGGAATACTGGATAAAGTGACAACTCCATTCATTCATAAGTTGGTTTCTCAAGTAAGTAGGTTCATGTTGGTTCGTTGTTTCTTTTGGTTAAATAAACTAACTATATTTAAGGCTATTAAAGTGTAGTAGCTTTTTTGTTCAGTTAGCATCATTTCCCCCGAATAGCTTCTAGACTCCTGCCAACTCATTTATTGAAGTACTATTTTCAAGCTGTTGTTATTTGGTGATATACTTGGATGATCTTAAAAACAGAATTTAATTTTATGTTCTCATGCATGATGTCTACTCAAATGCTTACATATCTTACTAGGGAATAAGGGCATTATATGTTTATAGTATCCAATGTTTATCTTAGATTGTAAATTGAAATCAAACAAATTGGGTAAAGATAGTATTCCAGTGTTCAATATTGCACGTTCAGGGATGCAGGTTAGGACATGTATGGATTCCCCCGGGTATTTTGTGGCAACAAAATGAAATAAAGCTAAATATATAGGTCTGCTCCCCTCTTGAATTTAGAAGTGAAGTGTAGGTAATATGATTGGTTTTGTTGGGCTTCTCTTCTTCACTTCAATTTACCAAGTGCTTGATGGTTGCATTTATTCCATTGCTTTTGACAATTAACTTGCAAAGAGTTTTACATACTATTTGCCAAATAATGGGGTGGATATTATCTGCTACTCTATATACTTTCAAGAAGCTGGCAAGCCACCAACACGGCAACACGTCATCTTGAAGTGAGAAGCTATGAGTTGCTCCGGATCAAGTTTTGTAGTTATAGGCAACAATACATTTGAAGAACATGGTCTTCTTAATTTGGATTAGTTTTGTAGGTATTGGCTGCAAGCCTGCAATGTCATATTGTAGAATATCAAATTGAATCATGAGAATTTATTCTTACCATAGGATCTGGTATTTGTTGAGGTATTTTTAATTTAGGTACCAGACAAGTTCATATTAAATTAATCAACTTTGTCAATGGCGATGTTATATATTTTGTATAAATCACATGTAATCATTGTAATGTTGCACAATTTTGCTTAATTGATACATTCATAGAGATAGTGATGAGTGAAAATTGTAAATTTATAGGTATCTTAATATAACAATCCTAATGTTGTTTAATTAAACGTAGTTGGCTGTTATAGTTAATTATAAACCTTGGATATATATATATATATAATAACAAAATAGTGGGGAGTGGGGAGGAGATTTTGGGCGGGAACACTGTAGTTATTTTTTTTTGTGTGTTTTTCGTTCTTGGGCGGCGTGATTGATTAATTGCTTGCAGTGTTTGGCCGAACAAATTTGAGTTTAAATTTCGAACTTCTAATTAATACTGTTTCGACAAAGCCAATGCATTCAATTGGGCGGCTAACCTGCAAACAAAATCTTAAAAAGAGAGAGAGAGAGAGACCAAGGAGGACTCGAGGAGTATTGACTATTGAGTACTCCGTATTAAATAGAAAGGCCAAAGTGGCTACTGGACTGTCTAGACTTTTGGAATTCCCGATGCATTGCTCTTAAACAAAATATGGAGAGTTGTTATAATACTTCAAGAATCAATATGCATGGCTTATTTTTAGTGCGTGCTTTTGTAACGCCAGTGCAAAAGCTGTGTGACGGACTATATATTCACGAGGGTGACGAAAAACTTCTATCATTGATGTGAAAAACAGTCCGGGCGTCCGGCAGATTATCTATTTCTCAAGAGTTTCAAGGAAAGGAAGCTATAGAGAATTATGCAAGAATTTGTATATCAATATGCATCTTTACACGTACAATTGTGATTTTTTTTTAATTTGGATTAATAGTGCCATGGAATACAACATATAGGAGTATTTATGTGTGTGTATATATATATATATTGGCACTAAAAA